CTTTCCAAGAAAGGGTCCTATAAAGTAATAATGATTATATGAGTGCAAAATAGATTATTTTTAAATGTACATCCAACGCATTATTTGTATGCTTCGTCTAGTTATGATGAGAGTCAATTTGTACTCTAAGGTATTTGATATCATTTGTAATACTTATATGAAACCACTGAACGTTACCTTTTATTGTTTCTATAGGAAGATGCCATCTTTTTGTAATTGTATAATGGAACAACATAAGTTTGATCAAAGGTTTGTAAGTTTTTATAATTAAACCATTCGAAAATTTTTATAAGATCTGTTTCTATTAATAATTTTAATCAATTCCAGTTCTCTGCATTTTACAGAATAACTGTGTCGTCTGAAAAACTTACAATATTTCCATCTGTATTTAAACGACAAATTATTTAAAATAAAATTAAACAAGATAGGACCTAAGACAGTAACTTGAGGCATACAATATGCTATTTATTTCCTTACTTAAGATATTATTCATTCTATTTGTGTTCGTTTTTGTAAATAATTTTGTAATAAATTATATAGGGTGCATCATATTCATACAATAAACTTCTATTATACGAAAAAAAAACGGCACACGATATAGTTAGTAAAGAATTTATTTACTTATATACTTCAACCGGACCACTTCTATTGTTGGAACAACTGTTGATAGAAGTCTTATTCTTGGTTTTGAGGTTCGATCAAAACAATCTGCTTTAAAATAACGTGAACACAAACATTAAGATATTTTGGCTCACAATTTGTTTGTTGCATAAATTGTTTACTTGCAATCAATTTATAAATCCAAATTGAACAATAATTTATTCATTTTAACAACCACATAAATATCTTAAAATTGCATAAAAAAATTGTTTAAATAAAAGTATGTATACCCTATAAACCATGAGACTACGTCTATGAGCACAGTTGATCGCAGACGCACTTACCATGTTTGTTTACAAATTTAAAACATTAAAAATATTACAAATTTTTAATGTGGTTGAAAATTGAGAGAACAAAATACTTGCTTATGAAATGTAGATTATTCCTTTCTACTTTTGCTGTGCTGCTATATACACAAGAAGAACAACTGACCATATTGTCTGGTTTGTCTTTTAACGCGGAAAATTTCAAATTAACAGTAATACTAAATAAATACTAAAACACTAAACACTTTTTAAAAATGTCTACAAACCATAAGCTTGATAAAAGTTTAAATTAACACATAAAATATCCAACTTATAAACCAATTTTAGAAACCATTTATCATATGATGATGAGTCGTCCATGGTACAACATGGCTACCACTTCCGTCAGATCGATTAGATTAACGCGGACATGGCATGCTCCTTCCTGACTATATATGTTCTAAGGTATATATATGCTGCGTTTGAGAATCCACATCGGATGCATTTTTTACATCACGAGCGTTTTTTTTATCCACATCGGACACATCTGTCCCATTACATTTACGTATACTGAATCACGTGATCAAAGATTTACTACATCTCAGATGCATCCGATGTGGATTCTCAAACGCGGCATATGTCATGAATATCATGACTGATAGTTCTACGCGACGTATTAGTATTTAGTTTGAATTTCCCCGATTAAAGACGATTAAAGCGACGTTTGTTAAGTCGAAATTAAATTCAAATAATTTAAATAAAAACTTACCTAACATAAGTTAGATTAAATATTTCTTTTTGTTCAAAGTTTTATTTTAATATATTCAACTCCCACTGTCTCTATGTCCGTGGAGAAAGTACAGTCTGTTACTCTGTTGGAATGAAAATCCGATACCGTGGTTTTTGCGTTCGCTTTCGTTCGCGTTTAGAATTTATTACTTATCGAATTTTCTTTCCAAGCTTTGTTAGAGAATATATACTACTACTAAGTATTACATATGTGGTTTTATATAATACTACTTGCTGTAGCCCGCGGCTTAACATGCATGGAGTCGTGTTTTTATTGTAAAAAAAAGGGTGGCGGGAAATCGAGATATGTCGTTTTTATCAATTCGCTCCTCATATTTTTCATACCAGGGCGTAAGAAGTACCACTTATTTGTTTTTTATTATTTTTATATTTTTTATTTATTTTTGTTTATTTTTATTTATTTTTATTTATTTTTATTTATTTTTATTTATTTTTATTTATTTTTATTTATTTTTATTTATTTTTATTTATTTTTATTTATTTTTATTTATTTTTATTTATTTTTATTTATTTTTATTTATTTTTATTTATTTTTATTTATTTTTATTTATTTTTATTTATTTTTATTTATTTTTATTTATTTTTATTTATTTTTATTTATTTTTATTTATTTTTATTTATTTTTATTTATTTCTATTTATTTTTATTTATTTTTATTTATTTTTATTTATTTTTATTTATTTTTATTTATTTTTATTTATTTTTATTTATTTTTATTTATTTTTATTTATTTTTATTTATTTTTATTTATTTTTATTTATTTTTATTTATTTTTATTTATTTTTATTTATTTTTATTTATTTTTATTTATTTTTATTTATTTTTATTTATTTTTATTTATTTTTATTTATTTTTATTTATTTTTATTTATTTTTATTTATTTTTATTTATTTTTATTTATTTTTATTTATTTTTATTTATTTTTATTTATTTTTATTTATTTTTATTTATTTTTATTTATTTTTATTTATTTTTATTTATTTTTATTTATTTTTATTTATTTTTATTTATTTTTATTAATTTTTATTTATTTTTATTTATTTTTATTTATTTTTATTTATTTTTATTTATTTTTATTTATTTTTATTTATTTTTATTTATTTTTATTTATTTTTATTTATTTTTATTTATTTTTATTTATTTTTATTTATTTTTATTTATTTTTATTTATTTTTATATATTTTTATTTATTTTTATTTATTTTTATTTATTTTTATTTATTTTTATTTATTTTTATTTATTTTTATTTATTTTTATTTATTTTTATTTATTTTTATTTATTTTTAATTTTTATTTATTTTTATTTATTTTTATTTATTTTTATTTATTTTTATTTATTTTTATTTATTTTTATTTATTTTTATTTATTTTTATTTATTTTTATTTATTTTTATTTATTTTTATTTATTTTTATTTATTTTTATTTATTTTTATTTATTTTTATTTATTTTTATTTATTTTTATTTATTTTTATTTATTTTTATTTATTTTTATTTATTTTTATTTATTTTTATTTATTTTTATTTATGTTTATTGCATCACTTTTCGCCCCCCTTAAAATGTGAAAATTCAAAACCCTGAAACACATCATTATTTATTTATAACGAGTAGCTTAAAATGTACACATCTAAAAACCCTGAAATACGTCATTATTTATTTATTTATTTATTTATGATGAGCAACTATAATTCCCATTTTCAAGTTGTTACCTTTAAAACATTCGAAACCCTCTCCACCCTTTCACCCCCAATTCCCCCCTCCCCCTTAAAATGTAAATATCCAAAAACCCTAAAATACAAACGTTCACCCCTATTTCATCCCTTAAAATGTAAGAAAGCCATAAACCTTGTATTACGTCATTATTTATTTCTGATGAGTACCTATACAGGGTGTTAAAAAAAAGTGTCACAAAATAAAACGGGGGGTAGTATGGGCCAAAATATGCAGAAAAGTCTTAATAAACATATGTCCGCAAATGAATGGTTTCAGATATACGGAGTGTTTTGTGTTTTGTATCATTTTTTGATTTTTTTTTTCATTCTCAAAAACTTGCTTTTCGTACCGGAGTCTACCGATGTTTTTTCATAGATACTATTTGCAGTTATTATTTTGTTGTGGGTGAATAATTTTATAAATTTTCGTTATGCCTGTTTACACTAATATTGAATTAGCTGACATGCATTTTATGTACGGTCGTGCAAATGGCAATGCACTTTGAACATCTCATTTAACTCTATGTTGTTATTGATTGTTTATAAATATCATTGTTTTTTTATAATAATAAAAAATTGTTATAAACACAAAATGGTCCGTATCTCCGAAACCGTTAATTTGCGGTCATATATTTTAAGACTTTTCTGCTTATTTTGGGTCATACTATTCACTATTTCATTTTGTGACACTTTTTTTTAACACCCTGTATAGTTCCTACCTTTAAAAAATTCGATGTTCCCATCAAACTTTCTTCCCCCGTTTTCCCCTTAAAATGTTATGTTTATAAAATCAGTTCTTAGTGGATGTCTACGTCGAGAAAGGAATAACTATGCCAAATTTCAAGTTAATCGGGCTTATAGTTTTAGAGATCTTGTGATGAGTCAGTGAGTGGTATTTCGCTTCAACATGGTAAAGGCCAAAATTGAAAAATAATAAATACCTATGTCTACAGTACTTTCGGATAGACATTAAAACATTTTCTTCAATACCCTGTAGCAAAAAATTTAAGCCATAGTAGAGGACATAAAATGTTAAAGTCAACTTTAAATAAAAATTAAACCTTGAAATACGATTAGCACGTCATTATATAAGGAATAACACCCTGTATATTATTTAGATCTGTGTAACGGAAATATTAAACTAAAGATGGAATGTTTTATTATTTATATAGTACATACCTATAGACTGAAAAATAACTGAAATCTGATGTTTGTTTCGGAAAATTTCACAAAAATATTCACAGGAAACTCCCCATGCACGAATTGAAATGCATACCTACCTACTCATTACCTAATTTACACCTAGAGGTATACCGGAAGTCGATCGATGACGATTTTTTAAAAATGAAATTAAGTATTTCAGTTATTTGTTTAAATAGTCCTTAAAAATATAGCTCATTTTCAAATATATTTTGAAGCTATAGAAATGTGTGTATTATAATAATTAAAATTCCCGCATCTCCCAGTTGTTTATTTGTTTACATTTGCGCGCACATAGGCAAGCCGGCGCGTAAGCCGCTTCTTGAAATCAAATACCGATCTGCATGCTGGTTTTTCTTTATTCAATCTTGAGCTTTCGGTGAGAGTGATACGCGACATGGCTGCTACAGAAGTTTTAAACGGTGTTAATTATTTCGAAGGGGTTGAAAAACTTCTTGAAATTTGGTTCACTACCAGTGATGGCAATCATAAATCTGCAGATTTGAGGAGAATTCCAAGGTATTTAAGTTAAATCAAACGTTTTTCTCCGTTTCAAATTTATCGGGTTGTTAAATTAATCGCACAACCGGTATTCTGCATTGATTTTCAAAGCTGCATGCTTGAATTTTGTTAAACACTATGTGTTAAGTTGTCAATCAAGTGGGTTTTAATTAATTTCTAATGTCATTTGAAATTTTACTGCATGCACCAGTTTTGATTTTTTTACAAATATTCAAAACTAACCTATATACTTTAATGTTTCCTCTTCTTGTAAGGATAAGTATTTAAGAAAAATAACATTTATTTTTGAACTATTGTCATCCTTCAGGAATAAATAAATCACTTAAAAAAAAATAATAGTTTTATAAAACTAAAAAACACGCTTTAATAGAAAAGTAAAACTAAAAAGTAGAAAATCATTTTCAATAAATTTAAATTAAGAATAGTGTGATTAACAAAAAAAATTATTTTATTGTGGGGTGCTTTTTAAGATATTTCCATAATTACTCTACTTTTACCAATATCTGTCATTAAAATATAACACAATTGACACGCTTTCTACAATAAAATAATTTTTTTGTTAATCACACTCAAAAAATCTATGGATAAGTTTTGCATTATTTTGCAATATCGAATTAAGTATTTTAATACAATTTACAACAAAACATTTTGATTAAAATTATATTTAAACTTTTAGGTTTAACATTCTATATTATATATATACTCTTCACAGTTCAACAAATCCCTCTTAACCCCCCATTTTTCCTCAATTTTATTCATCCCCTTATAGAGCTTGATTTTTCCTGAAGATTTCAAGTTGATTATGTTTTTTGTTTCCCTTAATCCCCCATTTCTATTCAGATTTTTTTTTTCAAATTTAATAGGCTTCATCCCCTTATAGGGCTTGAGTTTTATGCGTTTAAAATAACAAAGTTATTTAAGATTTTTTTGGTAAGTCAAAAATTCTTTATTTCTTGATGTGCAAACATTAACAAAACATTGTTTACATTTAGTTTTATAACAAAACCAAATTTTATAGCACATAATGGGGTCTATTCTGTAACCATTCCTTTATATTTAACGGCCTTTAAAAATATTTTCTTCTTTACTTCTGTCATTATTTAAACGGATCTTTAAAATACATTAAAGAACTATCTTAAAGAAATCTGTTTAAGTAATGACAGAAGTAAATTAACGAATACGAAAATATTTTAAAGGCCGCCAATATTTTTAAGGGCCGTTAAATATAAAGGAATTGTTACAGAATAGACCCCAATGGGGTCTATTCTGTAACAATTCCTTTATATTTTAAAGGCCGTTAAAATATTGAAGGTCTTTAAAAATATTTTCGTATTTAATAAATTACTTCTGTCATTATTTAAACGTGTGTGTGTGTATGTATTTCTGTTTGGCACTGGTTTCAAAACCAACTGGCCAGTCAATCTTTAATTAATTTTAATAAAGTTTATTTTGTGTTAATTCAATTTTAAGTTCTATCCTTACAATATTTCACAGTTCACATTTTATTTGAAAAATACAAATCCGGATTCCTTTAAAATACATTAGAGGACTATCTTAAAGAAATCCGTTTAAATAATAACAAGTAAATTAGCGAATACGAAAATATTTTTAAAGGCCTCCAATATTTTAACGTTTGTTAAAATATAAAGGAATTGTTACAGAATGGACCCCAATATACCATTACAGTGGAAATAAGCTGGACCAGTAAACTGTATTTTAATCTAACAAAAATCCGAAAAATAAGAAAGTGTATTAATTACGCCTGTTATTATGAAATGTTAGGTATCGCACAACATTGTTAAACTTTTTCTAATTATTAAACAAAATTGTTGCTGTCCCAGATTATTTTCGCTGTGATAGTACCTTAACCTGATGCCTTATGCATATTATGTTTATCTAATATTTACTTATTCATATTACTCGATTAACCTCAGTGGCGGGTAAATAAAACAAATTACAATTAAAAAAAATCCTGTATAAACAAAAATATCACAAGAAGTTGTTTAAATACAACTTGTGCGTGATTAAAAGATAGATTAGAAAATTTGATGCTGATTTTGAATCCACAAGTCCAAAGATAAGATGAAAAAATTGTCAAAAAAAATTGAAATTTAGGGTATATATGTAAAAAAATAGTAGATTTCAACTGATTCATTTAAAAAAATCTAACTTAATTTTTTAGGGATACCACACCCTCTATCTCCCTCTAGAAGATGGTGACGGTAAGATTTTTATACAAAAACGTTGCAAATCAGGTCTATTGTAAATGTGCCAATAATTAGATTTGTATCTCATCTGTAACTATTTCTAAATGCCAGCCCCACATCCGAACTATGACGGTTCAGCTCGAAAATATTTTTGGAAAAATGTTATCAAAAAATTTGAAATTTTGGGTTTGTTTGTAGAAAAAATTCCAACTCTTTTATAGAAAAAAATGTAACTTTATTTTTGGTGGGTGGCACCTCTTCCATGTCAGCTAGGGGTTGAGGTGGCCGAAATTTTCAAAATTATTAAGTTATGTAATTTTTCCTCTTTTGTTTTTTTTTTTAATGGCGGATTTTAACAGTTAATTTAAAAAATTTCAAATTGTTACATTATTGAGACACTTTTTAATGCAGAATATTTTTCAGGAAGTTTTTCAAATTATCTTTTGTTTTCAAGTTACCTGTCGTAACTTTGTTATTTCTTATGGCGGCCATATTGGATTTTTACATTGCATTATTTTCCTCCGAATTACCTTTTAAACGATGTGTCACATGCCATCTAATTTTTTTAGAAATACCCTTAAATTCATCAAAAATCTGATCTGTCCAACTTTCCTGATAGTTATTACAGGCTTTTCCGCTTATTTTGAACAATCTATTGTATCACTCCTATAAATGTTTAGCGGATGAACTAAATACATACATTTTCCACACACATCGTAGTCGAAACATTTTTTTTTGTATATATTCATTACCAACCAAATTTTTCCTTGACAGTCCATTTTAGAGAAATCATGTAAAAACAAAAATTTAGAGAAAAATATCGCATGACTTTTATTTGAACAATTTTCTTAAAAATTCAAATTAAATACTTTTTATCAATTTTCTCGAATACAGACCATTTTCGGAAAATTATTTATAAAATAAAAATTATAGAAAATAATATTAGAAGCAACTTTTATTGAAATAATTTTCTTCTCCGAGCGTAAATAACAGATATTTTTATTTTTTATTTTTATTTATTTATTTATTTGGGCCACAAACAGGACAAACCCATAACAAATATATTCTACAAAGTAGAAAAACAACCCCCTATAAAGTACCCCCAGATGTTCCGACTATGCCCAAAATTTAATTTGTTCCACCGCAGGATGGATTAGACCTTAAATTTAAAATTTGGTGTTTTTCTCTTTATCCGTTTTTTAATTATCTTCAAAATTCGAAATTCCCACTTTTTCTAAAATATCCCAAATAAAGTATGTTTTAGAGAAAGCATGGAATTATCAAGAATACATCACAAGCAACTTTTATTTTCTTAAAAATTTGAACTTTTTGTCAAATTTTTCGAATACGGACCATTTTAGGAAAATTATGTAAGGGACAAAAATTCTAAGGAATAACATCATAAGCAAAATAATTTTCTTTTCCATGCTTAAATTACAGATATATTGTATGAAGTATAAAAGCGACCCCTCTATAAAATACCCTTCTAGATGTTCCGACTATACCTAAAATGTAATTAGCTCATCGCAGGATGGATTAAATTTTAAGTTTAAAATTTGGTGTTTTTCTTTGTATCCGTTCATGAGTTATCGAGTTCGCATACCCACAGATACATCATCGCGAATAGTGAAAATGGATTCAGGGGACCCCAAAACGTAAAAATCTGTCAAAAAAATCATGATGAGACAGGAGAGTAAAAAATAATACTTTCGTTAATTTGGCAACACCGCGCCCATCTAAAATAGCATGTACTACACTAAAGTGCATTAGTTTAATACCGGATAAACATATAAAATTTTTCATTGTGTGAAAGTAGCATTTTCAAAAAGAGATTTATCAAATTCGACATCAAACAATATTCATTCTTCCGATATTAAAATATAATAATAACAAGTAATTTTTAATATTTGAGATTAACAATATTAAAAATGTTTGTTTTCGAATTTGCTACTAATTCTGTAATTCAATTTTTTTTTTTTTCGATATAATCCTAAAGGTAACTTGATAATTTCTTATAAATTTGGGGACTTGATTAGAATAACTTCGGATCAAAACATAATTTGATTATGAAAATTCATCATAGTCCATTTTGTTTTCCCTAAAATACTGTCATGGGAATGCCTAACCCGTCTCTGTAGAGGGCGACCTTCAGCCTTCCACTCGACTCATGGTCGAAACACCGCTGACGTATAGAGACAAACGCTCTGCTTCTCGAGAAACTACCAGAACAAGCGGTACGTGCCGCTGAGTCATAGAAATGGAATTCTAGGACATTCCACATCGTCTAGAAACTTCTTACAGAGTTGGACTTGGTATAAATAGCGCGACTTATCAACGGACGAGTAGTTTAGAATAAAGTATTGGAAATATGGAAATAGCGCGAGTTTGTAGAAAGACGTTAAAATTCAATTTAAGTGTTGTAAGAAAAGATAAATTGTAATAAATAAATTAGAATTGTGAGTTAGTGCCTAAGTATTATATAAATTAATTAGTACGTCATAAATAAATTGTAAATAGTATGTTTTAAATAAATTAAACTATCGTCACAATACTTATAAATTTCAAAATTTAAATAGTAAAATTTAAGTTTCCTTTTTAATGCGTTAGCCGATGCGAGAGCTCTATCTGCGTAATAATAAAGACAATCTGTTAGTCTAGTACATAGTTTTTCGTCGTTGATTCTCCTCCACAATCAATGCATTTTTGCATCCGCGAAAACCATTCTTGAAAACATTTTCCCCAATCTTCTGTTTATTTAATTTTTAAAGGCATCGACCGCTTATTCAGCCGATGTAAAACGTAAACCCCGTAATTTATCCTTTACCCCCGGAGATACGAAGAAGTGAGGACTATACAGCGAATGGCCCATTATTTCTATGTTTTGGGCTATTCAAATAATCATTTGTTGTACATACCGGATGGATATTTAACGCAGGACAGGACTTGCATTTTACATTAGATATTTGGTGTCGGGTCTAATGCGCCCCCGTAGGTACATTTGATCCCCCGATACATTTGAGATCCTCCCTTGATTTTTCGAATAATGATTAAATTTAAGTGAGACAGTTGCGACCCTATCTCTATTAATGGGATACCTGCTAATGCCTACCCTATTAATCCCAAACAGACGTCGAATAATGAAAGTAATTTTTTTGGTTTACTGATATATACAGGGTGTTTCAGAGTTAAAAGTACATACGTTAACTGGAAATGTAAGACACTTGGATGATTCGAAATCACCCATTATTAATGGGTCTATCACGTCTCACTACCTAGAATGAATTTATGAATTTCGCCTGGATTTTTATTTGGCCAAAACTCAACAACCATCATTCGGCATAAAAATTTCCAATTTGGCATCTAGAATCATTTCGATATTGCAAAAATAATGAAATAGAAATAATAGTGCAAATCCAGGTCCGGCGTAACAAAATTTGATCATTCTTTTCGTTTCAAAAACAACACCCTGTGTAACCAAATTTATACAGTAAACGCCAAATCTAAAGAACCAAGGACGCGCATGTATAATGCTACGAACACGCCTACCGATGAATATAATTGGTGCTTACCTAGAAAGTTGTAAACCAGGGGCGCGTATATTTTAAGACATAAAATAAATGGAAAATAGTGAATGATACTTGTTGCTTAGTGTTATTATTAGTACATAATTCTATAGTCAATTAAAAAAATCATTATTTTCAAGTAAGCCGACTTTAGGTTAAGGCTGTTCTACCGGGAAATTGTCCTTATTCAAATAAATTAAATTGAGGTAAAATTGTATATTGGTCAAACGGGCCGTAATTTCAAAAAAAAGCTATTTAAAACATTACAATAGTTATACTAAAAACAAAAATAATTCTACAGAACATATTTTTATCTGAAAATCAATCGTTTATGCAAAAATTGTTTCACATTTTGAGAATAAAGGCATTACATTAAACCATTTAGAAACACTTGAAATAAATAGATTTAAAAATTCAAATATCCTCTTAAGTGATCTGAACTGAGCTTAATTAAATCTCTGTACCTGTTCTTAGTTTTCTGTGAGATAATCCCGGTAATGATATCTTATTGGAATTTTATTAATGTATTTCTCTTAAGTACCTACTTTAACTATTTAGTTTATTTTGTATTAGAAATGTAAATGAGTCACATTTGAAGAAGAAGTTGTACAATTGTCGTGCAATTTTTAATTTTTATTTCTTTAAATAAAAGTGTGAAAATCTACCATGTTTGGTTTTTCTCATTTTAATAATATGGATTTTCATCAAGTAAAGGCCGAAACTATCAAGAAATTAAAATGAAATGGTATTAAATACTTACCACTCCTAAGAAAACATTGTAGTTAACTTTATATGAACGTTTCGACCTTCCTTCAAAATTCTTTTAACGGTAGTATAAGAAACACCTGTAAAAACTTAATATTATATTAATTTTTACATTTATTAGGAAACAAAAATTTTTAGAAACAGAAGATAAATTTTAAAAATTTAAATATAAAATATTAATCAAAAATAAAATGCATAGATATGTGTGTAAAATACACAAAAATATGGAAAAATACGCAAGTTTAATTGCAAATAAATTACAGAGTATGTTTACCTGTTGCTTGTGCAGTTTGAAGTTTGATATCATCTAAAGTAACTCCTTCCTTATTTTTGATTTTTCTTATAATGTCTCTATTTTGTTTATTATAATTTTTTTAGAAAAATGAAATCTGCCAATCGCTCTCAAATTATGCGAACTACCACCCCTACAAATTTGGACGCCAAGTTCGGAAACACCCTGTATAATATAATTTTTCATCATATAAAGAAACAAGACTTGACTTGACTGAAAAGATAAAAAATAAAGTATCAGAACAAATATTACATTATATTAGAGTACTCACTCCATAACCTACACAGAACACGAGGCTAATGTAGTCCAGTCGGCAGGTACTTTCGAGTTGGATAAAATTCCGAACTTAATGAAATTTTGGGATATCCTTTGGGGATAGTGTACTGTTTTCGACCTCGAGGACCCTGTGCTAACTTGGGTGGGGGCAAAAAACCTGTAAATTTTTTGACTGTTTATTTTTCGCTTCTTTTTTCTAAACCATGCGTTTTTCGAAAAAAGCGGCCAAGTACTAGAAAGATCATTAAATTTCCTTTAATTTTCATCGGTGCAGTTCGAAGATGAAATAAATTTCTCAAAATGTAAATATCCTCCTCCAGGGCCGACAAGAGGGGTGGTTAGCCGGGACTAATTCCCAGGGCCCGGGCTCAAGTGGGGGCCTGGCAGCTTTGGGTGAGGACGGTTTTTATTTTTGTAGGAGGACCTTTTTTTATTTTTGGAGATTTCGCTAAAGAGGACGAGTTTTTTTTTTAGAAATGTGATATTGAAAGGGCCTTGTATAAAATTGTCGCGGGGCCCGACTTGAAAAATTGTCCCGGGTCCGACTTGAAAAATTGTCCCGGGGCCCGACCTGGCTCTCGGCGGCCCTGTCCTCCTTCACAATTCACGCTCCCCTCTTCTTCAAGATATACATACGGAATTATAATCTATTTAAATAGCAAAATTGACGATATTATTTGGGAACACAACCTGCCACAAAGGTCCCGCGTGCGAACACTTAGAAATAGTTGAAAATAGTAAAAAAAAAAACATGGAAATTACGCACTTCGAAATATTTTAATTAAGCTTTCGAACTGGAGGAATTTGTGGGAAATAGTACATAGCTTATGTGTGTATTAATTTATTTCGTCGTTGGTGTAGGAATGACTAGCGTGTGTATATGTTTGTTTTTAGGCATATTTATCTATTTTTTAGCCCTCTCCGCTTTATAAACATTGTTTGTACAGCATCTAAAAATTGTTTTTTTTTTTCAGAGCGAAATTGGAATCACTAATGAAAATTGTCCGCTGTGAAATAATTAGTTTTGTGAAAAATGAGCAAATTGACGCATACGTGTTGAGGTAAGTCATTAACTTTATGTTTAATTAATTTTTTCCAGAAAAGTAGTTTTTTGAATATTACAGACTCACCTTGTCGGTAACTACAACATATAGCACGTTGTATTTAATGACTTGCACGTAAAAATGTTTTAAATATCATTAAAGAATATAGAAGAAAAAATAGAAATATTAATGACCTCCCAACCTTATGGTGAAATTACAGCTCCATATCTTGCTATTATCAGTAAATTAAACGTTTAATAAACATATTCCTTATTGATTCACTTCAATAAATGCACGTACCTATAGTACAAGTCTCAATATCTTTTTAATATTATGATGAGGCCTGCAGAAACAAACTCTTCATTTCTGAGGCAATTTTTCGTATACATCTGTCCATTACGGTCCTGTTTTCCATGACACTTTTTCAGATCAATACTGAGTGCGTACGTTGTTAGATCTCCTCTTGAAAAATAATTTATCTTTAAGAAGTTTTCAAGGCCACTAAGATAGTTTTTCTGCAGGAAGGAGTCTTATTTTGTAAGCGGGAATGTTTTCACCTAATTCAGAATATTAGTAATGTTATCAATGCGGTTACTGATGATATAATAGGTTCAATATTTCCTTGTTGGTGTAGGTCGCTATTAAAAACGGATGGGGAAACTGAAATTTTATTGGGTTAACACTTACGTCATAGCTAGCCGAAAGTGGAAATCGGTAGCAGAACTTTTATTATAGTAAAATTCTTAAATCTTAAGACCATATAGGAACTAAATCCGCTTAATACAATGAATGGAGAAGCAATTCAAATTTAATTTCACCCTTTAAATGCTGCAAAGCATATTTTGTTACAAAAAATTGCACACATTATTCAATGTGTTTTTTATTATTATGATACGAAAGTTTATTAACCAGTTAAAAAAGAGCTATTTATGTAACCAGTAACGAAATGCCTTATTTTGTGTAACGAGTAAGTATTTGCGGGACGAGCAGAGCGAGGTCCCGCAAAATGAATGAGTTACATAAAACGGCATTTCGTAACGTGTTACATACAAGATTTTCAAATTTTTGACTTGACTATTTATAAAATTGTGTTTGGTTAAAAAATGATTGACCATCATTCTTTAGTAGGTACTTCCAATCAAATATTTCAGAAAATTGTTGTATTTGATTGCTCTACGATTTTTTTTTTCAATAGTAATAAAAATAAGGGACATATGCAGTGTTGCCGATCTGATTTTTGACATTACCCGCGGGAAATAAAAATAAAAATCCATTTTTACCCGTTATCCTTAAAGGAGTAAATTTTACCCTCAACATTTCTAGACAGTTTTCAATAACGGTGTTTAATTATTTAAAAAATAAAACGCAATTTACAGCTTTCTTTTTTGTTGTTAAACGTAATGTCAAATTGTTAAATGTGAAATGTCACTATTCATTGCCTTTTTTTAAAGTTTTGTTTTTTATTCGATTTTTCGATTTAAAAATCAAAAAGGCATTTTTATTTATTCTCATTTCGTAACTGGTGACATAATCAACTTTTCGTAATCAGTTGCATAATATCGTTTTGACATTTGCTGCGAATATAAAATATGTCACTATAAGTCAAAATTAAAAAAAATATTTTTCTTAACTAGTTAGGAAAAATTCGCCATTGTCAATTCTTGGCATTTATTAAAACTGTCACTTTATATTTTAATTATGAAAAAAGTTTAATATTTTCATACTAATAATCCCAACAAACATTTTGGTCTGGAGAAATAATGGCCAAATAACTGTCTGCCTCCAATTATAATGATGTTTTAACTTTTACCTTACAAAGGGCCGACATATTTATATAGGTCACTACCAGTGTTGCCAGTCTAGTACAATTGTACTAGATCTAGTACATTCTCTGAGAATCTGGTACTCTAGTACACTCGAAACAATATCTAGTATTTTTTTCAGCGTATCTTTCCATTTGAAGTGTAAAATATATTGGTCAAAAATTACAAGAGAAATTAAAATAGTTGTTAAAAATTACTTCAGAGATAAAATAGCAGACATTTCTCGAGAGATAAAACATTGTTTAAAAATTGCACGAGAGATCAAATATTGTTCAAAAATGACTTGAGAGGTAAAAAAGGGTGTTAAAAATTGGTCTAAGTATAAAATAGTATTAGAAATTGCTTGAGAGGTAAAATATTGTTCAAAAATTGCTCTAGGGATAAAAATACTGTTAGAAATTTAATGAGAGATAAAAATATTTAATAATTTTTCCAGAGATTAAATAGTATTATAAATTGTTAAAATCGTGTTCAAAAATTGCTCGAGGTAAAATAGTATTACAAAATGTTAAACCCTTGTTCAAAAATTGATCGAGGGATAAAATACTATTGAAAAATTTGTTGAGAAATAAAATATTGTTCAAAATTGACTCAAGAGATACCTACTATTAGAAATTTCTCGAGAGATAAAACATTGTTTGAAAATTCCTCGAACGATAAAATACTATTAAAAAATACTCAAGAGATAAAATATTGTATAAACATTGCTCGAGATATAAAACATTGTCAAAAATTTATCGAGAGTTAAAATATTTTTATAAATTTGTCGCGAGTTAAAATATTTTTATAAATTTGTCGCGAGTTAAAATATTGTGCAGTTTGCTAAAGAGATAAAAAGTTGTTAAAAATTGCTCAAGAGATAGAATAATGTTAGAAATTTATCGAAAGATAAAATATTGTTTAAATATAGCTCAAGAGATAAAAAAAGGTTTAAAAATTGATCGAGAGATAAAATAGTATCATAAGTTATTAAAATCATATTAAAAAATTACTCGAGAATTAAAAAATACTATTAAACATTTCTCGAGAGATAAAACATTGTTTAAAAATTGTTAGAAAGATAAAAAATGTTAATAAAAATTGCTCTAGAGATCAAATAGTGTTAGAAATTGTTAAAATTTTGCTCAAAAATTGCACGAGAGATCAAATATTGTTCAAAAATAGCTTGAAAGATAAAAAACTGTTAAAAATTGCTCGAGTGATTAAATAGTGTTAAAAATTTTACAAAAAATTTTGTACAAACATTGTTCGAGGGATAAAACATTGCTCGAGGGATAAAAAAAGTTGTTAAAAATTGCTCGAGAGATAGAATACTGTTAGAAATTTATCGAGAGGTAAAATATTGTTTCAAAATACTTAGCTCAAGAGATAAAAAAGATTTAAAAACTGTTCGAGAGATAAAAGAGTATCAAAAGGTATTAAAATTTTATTCAAAAACTGCTCGAGAGATAAAATAATGTCAAAAATTTGTCGAGAGATAAAATATTGTTAAAATTGTTGTGTTCGTGTTCTCTATAAACCTTTTTTTGCTCTTTAATGACCATACTTCATAATTAGAAAAATCTAGTAATTTTATAGAATCTAGTACATTTTTATGAAATCTGGTACATTTTTTAGATAAATCTGGTACATTACCAAAATATATTCTGGCAACACTGGTCACTACGATCGACAGTCAGGCCACAGTCCTTTTGCAATATATTCACTTTGTCATCATATAGGGCCTTCGATGGCTGACTGCTGGCCCAATATTAGCTATTTTTAATATTTCAGCAGGTTATTCGAAAATAAAGGTTTAGTTAGAGAAAAATGATGTTTGAATTGCTAAACATTTTAATGATGATAGTAAATAAATAAATCATCAAAACATTGGCAATTAAAACAGTTTTCCTTAAATTAGACCTTCATTTTACCACAAACTTAAAATTCAACTAATGATGGGTTTTTGACATGCTTATCAGCTTTCAAGTCAATTATTTAGGATCTAACAGAAGGTAAGGATATATAATGACAAAAAATTGTAAAAAACTTCTCATTAATTTCCTATAAATAGCAAACCGTATTTATTCTTAATAATTAGGGAAAATTCAAGTATGTTATTTTATTTTCCACTATATTATTAATTTGTTTAAGGCCGATCTTTTCACCTCTAAAGTAAAGTTACATGTAGGTTTACTTGATTAACAAAAAATAGCCCTGATTGACTTGCGGTTTTGATTTTCTTGAATAATTGCTTCTAACTTAGAACCCTATTGATTTTCAGAATTTTCGGTTAATCTTTAACTACTTTAGTATTAATTTTCTTAAAATCCTCCCATGCATTTCCTAACGTCTAGCATTACTAACATACCATACATTGCAAACATTCTCCAACGACCTGTCAAACAACAGCTGCTGATTGTAAAGGTGAGATTTATTTAAAATTATAAAAATAATAGTAGTTGGGTGTCCAAAATATGAACTGTGATTGGTGGATTTCATTTTTTTGCAGTGTTTTCACTATCTATAGAATGGATATGAAATATATTCGTTCAGTTGAACGCAATGACATATTTTTTCGTTTTGTAGTCTGCGCGTAGATAAGCTACTATCCATTAGGGTGTAGAAAATTAGTAGTTTGTGCAACAAGAGTGGATATGGACAATCCACTCGAGTTGTACAGTATATTTTTTCTACGACCCACGAACGAAAATCGAAAAATTCAAATAAAAAAATCGAAAAATTCAAAAATCGAAAAATTTAAATAGAAAAATAAAATAGTCAAAAAATCAAAAAACCGACAAATCGAAAACTCGAAAAATCGAAAAATCGAAAAATCGAAAATTGAAAAATTCAAATCGAAAAAAACGAAATAATGACAAATCGAAAATTCGATTAATCAAAAATCGAATCAAAAAATTGAAAAATCGAAAAATCGAAAAATTGAAAAATTGAAAAATTGAAAAATTGAAAAATTGAAAAATTGAAAAATTGAAAAATTGAAAAATTGAAAAATTGAAAAATTGAAAAATTGAAAAATTGAAAAATTGAAAAATTGAAAAATTGAAAAATTGAAAAATTGAAAAATTGAAAAATTGAAAAATTGAAAAATTGAAAAATTGAAAAATTGAAAAATTGAAAAATTGAAAAATTGAAAAATTGAAAAATTGAAAAATTGAAAAATTGAAAAATTGAAAAATTGAAAAATTGAAAAAT